CCGAGAGCCCGTCAAGGCGGGTCTGAGCCGGCGCGCCGTGGGGACGCACGGTGCCGGGGCATGCCGTAGGGACCAGCGGGTGCTCTGCCGCGCGATGGGACGGGGCCGTCCGGCGCTGCGGGGCCGAGCCGGGGCTGACCCCGGCACGCAGGGTGGGGGTTGCTGGTGTCCCTGCTGGAAGGCCGAGGGTGGGGAGGTGGTGCGGGAGTGGAGCCGGCCCCATCTCCTCCGGCTCTTGCATCCTCCCTGCTCTTCCATCTCGTGCCCGTCCCCGCATCCAGCCTCAGTCCGTGCCCTCTCCGCACCAGGAGCCGACCCGCCCAGCAGTCTGGGTACCGCCGGCTCCGCTCCCCCTATCCCGCCGCGCTCAATGGGGGCCTTGTGCTGGGCCGTGACCGCAGGCGGATAGCTGCACGCAGCCACAGGCGCACACAGCACCGGCCCCACCTCCCACGGTGGCCTCGTTGAGACATCCCTGCCACGAGGCAGCGGGCAGAGCCGTGCCACGTTCTGCATCCCGGCCTCACCTGGCCTTGCCGGGTGTGCAGGCGGCTCTGCGGGCAGCCATCCATCCACTCTCCATCTGCCCACCTGTGGGAGCTGATTCAGCTGCAGGACGTGAGTCCCCGGTTCATTGCGGTGGTGGGCACCTGGGGGACGCTCTCCCATGGGGGCCATGGCTGCTGCCCTCTGACCTCACTTTGGTGACGCCGCAGGGCTGGTCTCAGTGTCAGGGTGGCTATGGTGGCCCCAAGCTGTTCCTCAGTGCTGTGAGTCAGCGGGTGCTGTGAGTCAGGGCCGTGTGGTAACCCTCGTGCCAGCAGGGCTGTGGAGCCATGGGCACATTCATGTCTTGTCACCCACGTGTGCCATGCTGCACCTCACTGGGTATGGTGTTTGCTAGGGCACGGTGCCATGGGCATCATGCCCACTGGACACCAGGCTTGTGGGTATGGTGCGTCTTGGGGTGCTGTGTCTCAGTGTTGTGTTTCTGGGTACCGTGTCTCTTTGGTCTTCTTGCTTTCCTGGATATTGTGCTTTTGGATGTTGAGCCTCTGGATCCAGTGCTTCCTTGGGTATGGTGTGTCTTGGTGTGCCTTGACTCTGGGCATCGTGTCTTCTTGAGTGTTTTACCTCCAGGTTCTTGCCTTCTCTGCTATCACGTCTGTGCCTCCTTGGACATATTGCTTCCGGGCACTGAGTCTCCTTGGGTGTCATGCTTCTGGGTATCATGCTTCCTTGGATATTGTGCCTTTGGGTATGGTGGGCTTTGGGCACCATGCTTTACCCCCTTAAGTCGTTGCACTCGACTGTCTCCTCCTGGCAGGTGGCTGCTGCAAGGGCCATGGCACCACGTGGCTGCTGCCAGGCTAAGAGCAGAACACTGCACCCATGGGGGGCCCGCTGCCTTCTGGGGAACTCCACCAAAAAGCTTTGGACTCAGAAAAACAAACAAACAAACAAACAAACAAAAAAAAAAAACAAAAACCACCCAGATTATTTTGTTTTAAGGAAAAAAAAAAACTGTTTTCTTTTTTCCCAATCCTGAAATGACTCATACTTCCATGCTGAAAATAAACCTGATGGCGGCTGCTGTTACCAGTGGGTGAGTTGCAGTCAGGCGGGCAGCAGGGCACGCTGTGCCTGGGGCTGCTGGGGGGGGCTGTGAGAAGGAGGGGAGCAGCTGTCCCTGAGCACCCAGCATGGCCCCCCCAGCCCTTCTCCCCAGCCTCCAGGGAGAATGTAGAGGGGGGTTGTTGGGGGGCTCAGGTGTCCATGCTGCCTGCTGGGGGGGTCAGGGCTGCTAATGGGGCTAAAGTGCTCCCAAGTGGGCACCGCCATCTGCATGGCCCTCTGGGCACTGTGAGTGGACGTGTCCCACGTGTGCCAGCACCCGTGTGCATGCATGTTGCCCCCGTGCACACCCATGCTTTGGTGTGACATTTGGTTTGATCAGATCTCCGTCTCTCCAAAGCTGTTGTGCCGTACAGCAAATGGCTGAAATTCCCCCCCAAGGACCTCTGTGTAACACGGGGGTGCGCTCCTCTCCGCAGGGACCCCAGCTGCAGTGACGTCCCCACAGTCAGCCCCCTGACAGGAAGGGACGCCATGTCCCACGGGGACACCCCAATGGAAGGGCTGTGGGGTGACTGCGACGAAGACCCCGAACCGGGGGGCACTCTGCATCCCCCACCCGCTCAGCCCCATCCCAGCCCCACGGTGCAAACGTGTCCCCTGAGGGACCCAGAGGAGGGTCCCCTCGCCCAGACGCAGACCCTGCGGGACTTCGAGAAGGTGACCGCTGCAGGGGCCGGGGGGGTGCTCGCGGGACGCGTCTGTTGGCCCCAGGAGGGGATGGGACAGCCGGTGCCGTCCCCGTGGGGCACCGCGCTCCCCCTCACCGCCCTCCTGGCTGACGTCCGGGGGGCCACCCGGGGCTCGGGTTTCACCACTTGTCTGTCCCCACAAATAGCACCGGGAGGGGAAAAAATAGGAAGGGGCCTTGGCGAGGGCACCCGTCCCAGAGCTGCGTGCGGGCAGGGAGCCGTGGGCTCGGTGCCGCCATGTGAGGGGTGCCGGGATGCCCCCCCCATGGAGCACCAGCCATGGCTAACGGGTACCGCACGCTGTCCCAGCACCTCAACGACCTCAAGAAGGAGAACTTCAGCCTCAAACTCCGCATTTACTTCCTGGAGGAGCGTGTGCAGCAGAAGGGAGAGGGCAGCCGGGATGATGTCTACCGGCGGGTGAGCGCGCCTGTGGGGACAGGGATGGGGCAGGTGCTGCCGGATGGGATATCCCTCAAATGCTGTCCCTTTGGGGATGGAGGCACACAGCTGCCAGTATGGGTCAGGGATCCCAGTGAGTAGTTGAGCTGGGGGGAGTTTGCCTCTCACTGCCTTTCACCGGAGCAGGAAAATGGGATGGGGAAAGCAGGATCTTCCCTGCTGGTAGAGACCCCTGTGCCCCGTTACAATGACGGACACCCCATGCCTGTGCCTCGTCACGTGGGGTTCACCCCGTGTTCATGCTCCATCACACAGGGGGGACACCCCATATCTGTGCCCTGAAATGGGGCTATCAGCAGCAGGAAGCCAGCATGATAAACAACCTAACTGCTGCAACAGCTGTCCTGGGTGGGTGGGTCCCTGCTGACAGCGGGCATCCCCAGCTTGGTATGGGGACAAAAAGCACCCAGCACCCTGCTGTGGGGCAAGGGGTGTGCCCCCCCACTGCCTTCAAAGCGCACAGGGAGCAGTGTGGGGTCTCGGTGCTGTGTGGGGCCTGGATGTGGTGTAGGGCCTTGGGGCGTGTGTGCACAGTGCCAGCTCCATCCCTCCTGCCCTGCAGAACATCGAGCTCAAGGTGGAGGTGGAGAGCCTGAAGCGGGAGCTGCAGGAGAAGCAGCAGGAGCTGGACAAAACCTGGTGAGCGCTGGGACAAGCAAGGAGGGGTGGCTGGTGGGGCTCTGCTTACGGCCCTGACACCGGCCAAAAATAAAGGGCAGCACCTGTCTGCCGGGGGAGGGTGAGGCTGAGCCCTGCTGTGCGTGCCATGGTGCTGTGCCATGCCATGTGACACTGTGCCATGCTGTGTGACATTGTGCCATGCCATGTGATGCTGTGCCATGCCGTGTGATGCTGTGCCATGCCATGTGACACTGTGCCATGCCATGCCATGATGCTGTGCCATGCCATGACTCTGTGCCATGCCATGCCTGGCAGGGTGGCTGCAGAGAACCAGACAAACCGCAGCGAGGCTGCACTCAGGCAGCATTATGAGGAGCGTCAGCGGGAGTCAGAACATGTCTACGAGCTGCTGGAGAACAAGATCCAGCTCCTGCAGGAGGTGAGCAGCAGGCTGTGGTGGGGTTAGGGGGAGTGGGGCCGCATGGAATTCAGCTATGTGTGCTGTGCAGGAGGCCAGGCTGGCCCGCAGCGAGGCAGAGCAGGCCACTGCGCTGGCCAAGGCCGAGGCACAGCGGTGCCAGGAGCTGGTGGCCAAGCTGAAAGAGGCAACGAGGACAAAGGGGGACAGCAGGAGCGGAGATGGCTGTGACACTGTGGCCCAGAGGTAGGTGTGCACCGGGTGCTACTCCAGCCAGGTTCAGCGGTGCCACTCCAGGGCTGAGCATCCCTCGCTGTTCTCTGAATGCAGGAGGATGGAGGAGCTGGGCTGTATGGAGGAGATGCTGCCGGCTGAGAGGTGTGACCTGCAGCAGAGGGACAAGGCTGCAGCAGGGCAGGTGGGTGCAGCACTGGGGGCTGTGTGCTGCTGTCGGTGGGGCATGGCTGGAGCTGTCCTCACCCTGCTGTGTTGGGGATTGGTGCTGCGGTGTGGTGCTGGGGACACTGGGCTGTGGCAGAGCACCTTGGGGCCTCGCAGCTGCCTGCGCCATCTGCCCTATGGTGGCCCAGGTGACAGTGCGTGAGCCACCTGCATGTGGTCCTCTGTGGGACCGGGAGAGGACACATGGATCCGTACTGGAGGCAGGCGCTGCTGGCGCTGGGGCTGAGAGTAGCACCGCACTGCAGCTGTGGATGGCACTGCGCTGTGCCCAACCTCACGCGTACACAGCGGGCACTGCGCATGCGCGCCCGCCGGGAGGAAGAACTACAAATCCCGGCAGGCACCGCGGCCGCCGCGTACGCGTTGAGCTGTCGCCCGCCGCCATCTTGAAATCTGAGCCAGAAGCCGGGCGCCGCCGTGGCAGGAGCATCCTCGGGGGGGAGGCGGAGCGGCGGGGCCGGGAGCGGGGGGGGCAGCCCGGGGTGAGGGGCAGCCCCGGGGTCGGAGGGCTGTGAGGAGGGAGAGGGTACCCTAAGGGTGGGGGCTGTGAGGAAGAGGGGCGGCCTCAGGGCTGGGGGCTGTGAGGAGAGGAGCCGCCCCGACGTGGTGGGGCTGAGGCGAGAGGTGGCGAGGGGCGGCGGGTTTCCGTAGAGCCGGGAGCCCCGGCGTGTGGCCCGGTGGAGGGGGCTGCGCTGCGGGGCTGAGGGAGGCGGTGCTCGGGGGATGCGCTGAGAGTGGTGCGGGCCTCGGGGGGCGCCTCGAGAAGCTCCTCGAGAAGCCCCGGCAGGAGGGTTGGGCGCCTTCGGCAGAGAGGATGAAGGAAACCTGCCGGATCTGTGCCCGCGAGCTGTGCGGCAACCAGCGGCGATGGATCTTCCACACGACGGCCAAGCTCAACCTCCAGGTGCTGCTCTCCCACGTCCTGGGCAGGGAGCTGTGCCGCGATGGCAGAGGCGAGTTCGCGTGCAGCAAGTGTGCCTTCATGCTGGACCGCATCTACAGGTTCGACACGGTCATCGCGCGCATCGAGGCCCTCTCCATCGAGCGCTTGCAGAAGTTGCTGCTGGAAAAGGACCGCCTCAAGTTCTGCATTGCAAGCATGTACCGCAGGAACAATGAAGAGCCCGGAGCGGATGAGAAAGCGGGAGATGGAACTGTGGACCTTTCTAACCTGCCTGACGCGCGGTACGCTGCCCTCCTTCAGGAGGACTTTGCTTATTCTGGGTACGAATACTGGACGGACCAAGATGAGCACGGCCTGGAGCCTCACAGCTGCCATGCTTTGGAGGGAGCTGCCAGCCGCCCGCGGCGGTGCCGGGGCTGTGCCGCGCTGCGTGTGGCCGATGCCGACTATGAAGCAATTTGCAAAGTGCCACGAAAAGTGGCCAGGAGCATCTCCTGTGGGCTGTCCAGCCGATGGTCAGTGAGCATGGGCAATGAGGAGTCGTCCGTATGTGACCCGGCGGAGTCTGCTGGCGCCAGAGGGCCTGTGGATGGGGAGAGCATGGAGGAGGGCACGCCTGCATCCTCTGTTGAGTCCCTGGACACAACAGTGGAGTCCAGCGCTCCGCAGCAGAAGGATGAAGATGTGGATAAGGGAGTGAAGGGGAACGGGAAATGTGACGATTTTGCAGAGGACCGCATCACCCCTAGTTCATCATTGAGTGGGAACAGGCTGGAGCTGGCACTCAGCTTGATCAAGGGGCTAGACTACAAGCCCATCCAGAGCCCACGAGGCAGCAGGCTGCCTATTCCTGTGAAGTCCAGCTTGCCTCCCCCCAGGCTTAGCGGTGACTTGGCAGATGGAAGTGCTTCTGCTGGCTTAGCGTATGCTGGTTCTGGTTTCCTGAATGCAGACAGAAAATCCTTTTCCAGAGCTCCCTTGGGTCTTCCCTTGGAGATTCCTGAACTTCAAGAGCTGTGGGACGACCTCTGTGAGGATTATATGCCACTGCGGGTACAGGTAGAGGTCACTGTGCAGCCGTTCCATTGAGCGGCATACTGCTGCTTGGCCCTTGGGACCATTAGGCATTCTTCTGTGTTGAGATAACACAGATAGACGCGTGTAGCTGAGCCAAGGGCTAAGAATAGGCAGCTCAGTCCTTTTTAGGTGTGCGTTCTCTCTCCCTTGTTGTTCTCTTGTCATCTGTTTTCCTCTTTTGTGTTCTGGGAAATGAAGCTCCTCCCGTGAATGCAGTGTGCTAGCAAGCTCTAAGCTCCTTGCAAGCTTTTGCATTTTCTGCTGAGAAAATGCCAGTTTCACTTTGTAGCTTTCTCTTTAAGAAGCTGATTTGACTTTTACCCACAACAAAAGGGAAAGTTTTAAGCTCCTGGGCATGTGTTTTCCAGCAAACGTGTTTTCTTTGTGTGCTGGTAATGGTGGATGTCAGGAGCCTGCCTGTCACGCTGCCACCATCGCCCTGCTCTGCAGATCAGGTCTTAGACCAGCTGAGCGTGCTGCTCTGTGCAAGCAGCTGTGGAGCGTGCCTTGAGGAAAAGGTGTTTTCCTTGCAGGTGGATTTGTGCCAGGGGATGACTTTAGGGTTGGTATTCTAGATAATTGGTTTATTTTCTGATCCTTTGAAAAGGTTCATCCCTTAATGGCAGGTGTTGTGAAAAGGCAGCAAACGCTCCTGTTGGCTATGTAGGTGGTGGTCCTCATGCAGCTCGATTGCTCTGTTCTGCTGGCTTTTATGAAATCGTCATTAGGGTGCAGTCAAAAAGCTGAACTTGTAACTCCTTCACCACTTTCTGTAATGAATAGAAGGCCCCACTCAGCTTCAATTCAGGAATATCCATGTCAGGCTAATTGCATTCGCATTAGCAGCCTTAGTGCTGCCTAATTCTCCAGATAGCCTCAGGGATTAGGAAAAAGCTTGTTTATTACTATGGCAACTGATGCTGTGCTCAATTATGCTTCCTATTCTGTGGGTGCTGCTTACTGCCCCATCTGCTCAGGCATTTTCCTGAGCTTTGTGCTTTTCCCATAAAGCTCGGCTCAAGAAATTGCTAGGGCGGGATGTAGGACGCTAAAAACTAATCTGCCTCACAAAAGCGCTGCCCTTGCAGCCAGTGAATGAAGATGCGAAGCAGGATGTAGGCGCTGCTGCTATATGCTGTGTTGCTGGTTGCTCATCTTCATAGCTAAGGGTGTATTTACAGCATAAAAACAGGCTCTGTATGAACAGAAGGTGGCGCAGTCAGTGTGACGTGCTTATTTATGGCTTGGGGGGGGGGGGGGGGTTCACCCTCCTCTTGGAAAGGATTTGGGGAGTTTCAGCCTCTGCCCTTTGTCCCTGCCAAGAATCCCCCTGCTAGGTGTTTTCCTGACCATCTTATGGTGTGACCTCACTCAAGCTGTAACTGGCTTGAGTACAGGGTGTGGCATAAGTGCTTCTATATTTGTTGTTTTTGTTTTTGGGATTTTTTTTTTTTTTTTTTTTAATAGGATCACACTGCCCTTATTGCTTTGTGAAATTGCAGTTCTACTTTACGTTTATTGCTGCAATCTAGCGTCCGGGGCACGTAATCCCTTAGATAACCATCCTCTTGGGTATTTTTCTTTAAACCAACAATGCTTCTCCTTCACTGCAGCTCCAAGGAGATGCCATTGAGCCAAACCCTCATCAGGCACGCTCTTACACTGCTCTTGGTGCTGGTGCTGGCAGCCAGGGAGGCGTTGTGCTCTCACAGCTGGTCTTTTACCCACTGTTTGGTGCAGATGTGAGGCTTAGACAGTGCAGATATTATTGCCCTTGTTTTTTATAGAAGTGTTTTGTTTCAGTTAGTGGGTGCTGACGTTGCTGAAGAAAGGGCACTGGGGAAAAGTTTACAATTAAAATACTGATTTAGGGGAAAAAAAAAAAAAAGGCAAGCGTGCTGCTTCTGACAAAGGTGGCTGTGGTAAAGGAGGAAGAAAATGCAGGGAAGGGGAAGTAGAGGAGAAAGTGTACTGTTCCCATTCTCAGTGTGTGGGTTTGTCTCATGGGTGAAATCTCTCAGCTGGGGCACTGAATTTACTATGGCTCGTAGGGCTGAAGCACTGGAGCATGGGGAGGTGTGAGGAAGGGCCCCACGAAGCACCAACAGAGGGTTCACAGTAAGGGAGTGAGGAGTGACAGGCGGTCTCAGCAGAGCCTTGGGCAGCAGGGTGCCAACCACCACCCAAGGGAAGGCAGACATGGGCATTGTATTTTTTTGGAGAGACAAAAGCCCTGAGGGGCGTTTGAGCCCACACTACAAGGTCTGCAAGGGCTGCCAAATGGGATAGAAGCCAGTGCAAGGTTTGAACCATTTCTCTCTCTCTTTTTTTTTTTTTTTTTTTTTTTTTCTTTATTTCTTTTTCCCCCCAGAATCTGCAAGATGAACATCAAAAGCCAGCTCCAGGTGATTCTGCATCGAGGGAGTGCACAGCCAATCTGTGTGCTACAGAACCACAGAGCAAAATCCAGCAAATTGAAGCTGCCAACCAGGTATTCATTTGTAAACAGCAAATTCAGTGCCTAATGAGTCTGTTGTAGTTAGTATTGAAGGCTGCCCCTAGGCCTCTCCAGAGGCAGACACCTGTAACTCCCCTCCAGCCAAAGGTGTGTGAGCTGGCCTGGGGATCTTAGTGCTGCTGTCTGTAGCTCGAGTTAAAAGCATTTGCTTTTTTTTTTCCTCCAGCTCTGCTGTGTAAGTTTTTCATATTTTATTTTTTGCAAACCACGATTTTGAAGGAGCTTTCCAGTTGCTTGGTGAGCCTTCTGAGAGCTGGTGAAGCAGAGGTACCACAGGGCTGTTTCCCTCACTCTTGGATTTGCATGAGTTGAGTCTGGTGCAGGAGAGAAGGACACCTGCCTTTTTAGACAGCTGCTGCCTTTTGTTTTGTTTTGTTTGCAAGCTTTAAGGGAGATCAGTGCAGAGGAGGATCACATCTTCACTTAGCTTTTAAGGCTGTAAGTTTGTTTACTAGGAAAGCTGAGCTGTCTTGAAGCAGATCAAATTTAACATGTGTTCCAAGGGATAGATGTTCTTGGTTATGCTCTTAAACTCTAAGGTAAACTACATCCACTGGGAAAATAGAGGGGTTCAATAGAAGAGAACAAACAAAAACAACAACAAAACCATTGGAACACAATCTTTATTTGTAATCTGAGGTCATCTGCAAGCTGTTGGATCTGGTTGAGGTTGACAGAGAAATAGAACAGGCCCAAGGCTCTGTAAATGCAGGTGAAGTGTTTAAACAGTTTAGGGGGAGTGTCTGGTGGAGAAGAGATAACATGACAGGTGTGTGAACTAATGAATAACAAGAAGAGGTCGTGGCTGCACCAGCTTCTGGTGAAACTGAGGCTTAATTCAGTTCCAAAGCAGATGCATATCGACTAAGAATGGCAACGGCAGCATGTTTAGAAATGCTAATAAGCAGTTGCTTAACAGTTTGCACTGCTCATGTACAACTTGGTGCAAGCAGAGAACTGTCCTAAAACTATTTGAGATAATGTCACTCTCTTCGGGTTTAAAAAAAGTCCAAGGCAGAAGTGTCTCAGGTTGTAAATCAAAGATTGGAGCTAGTGAGAAGTTCCCCTCGGTAGCCATGCTGTTGGCATGCTGGCACTCCTTAGATTCCTTTGTTCTGAAGCCAGAACTTGAGGCTAGATAATCCTGTAGTCGCTCAAATGTGCAATCACCTCGGCCAGCAGACCAGCAGCTGCTGCAACAGTACCTGGGTGGTGGAATGAGGCAGCAAGAGGACGGGCTGGAGGATGCTAAAGGTGCAGCTGTAGTATTCTGGGTGACATCAGAAGCAGCATAAACAGTTTTTAGAATGTGTAGCTTCTCCAAATGGGGTGGTTTGTTGTTGGTTTTTTTGTTGTTGTTTTTTTTTTTGTTTTTTTTTCCTATTTTTCTTTTCTGTTGTTCAGATCTACTGGGAAGTGTTTGAGCTGAAGTAGCTCTTCCCTCATAAGGGAGCATGCATGCTAGGAATTGGGAAGGGTCCTGGGCAGTCTGAGCAAGCCTGTCCCACGGTATGTGGGAGGCAGCATGATGTGTGAACCCAAACATGGAACCTCCACCCTGCATGTGATGGTTGCATTAGAGGGACTAAAAGCACTGGAAAAGTCATATTGAGGAAAGAATGATTTGTTTATTCGCTGCTCTCCACCCAGCACAAACAGTGCTGAAGGGCTTTGGAAGGGCTTTGGCTTGTTTGTCTTGATCTGGTGAATACCTGGGCTGTGGGACTTGAGTTAATGGTGTTTCATGTATCGCATTAGACCAGCATCTTTTTGTGCTCAGTTATTACAGGAAAAGCTGAATGAATTGAATTATGAATTAAAATCTGCACGAGAAACATCGCAGAGACAAGATCATACAATTCAGAGTCTGAACGAGGCCCTGAAGAGCAAGGAGAGTGAGGTACTAGTATAGGATGGGCAGGGTGGGTGGGTTGGTGCTCACTGGAAGCTAGCTGTGTAGGCAGTGATTGAAAATAAATGCTTCAGCCATTTCTGTGCATCCCAAATCTCATTAAATTAGTTCCTGCAAAGCTCTTAGTATTGTGTGGCACTGATGTATCACAGTCCACGCTGGAGGCTTGAAATGGAAGGGTTTATGCTTGGCTTGCCGATGACTGCTTTCCATCCCTTCATTCACAGACAGAAGAGCTGTATCATGTCATTGAAGGGCAAAATGAGACAATGGCCAAGCTGCAGGACATGTTACACAGAAGCCAGCTGGGGCAGTTGCAGGTACGTCCTGGGAAAGCCTGAAATACATCTGGTTTGGTGCTGCAGGGATTTTGGTTTTTAAATCCCTCTTGTGAAGTGAATCTTCAATTTCTTAGTTTCTCTCTCTTGTCAGATGTCAGAGAGCACACCTTCATCTCAGGAGCAGCAAGTGGCACTGCTTGATCTTCAGAACACACTTTTCTGCACGCAGCTGGAGGTGCAGAAACTGAAAAGAGCTCAGCGCCAGAAAGAGCATCAGCTGGTTGAAGCCAAGAGGGCTGCTCAGCTCCTAGAGACCACGGTACAGGAAGAAGAGCAGCAGAGAGAGGCAACCTGGAAACACAACCAGGTATGGCACACACACAGCCTGGAAGTCTCCTCAGTTGTAAGAATTAAGAAGCATTAGTGTAGTCAATGCTCTGCTCTCATTCATTGCTTCTGCCTACACCGGTGTGGACACACTTGACTAACCCTGTCTTGAGTATGGCATGGAGAATTTTTAGCCTCCTTGGCTTCCCTTCTGAGGATTTACGATCCACAGAGACATGTGACTGATAGAGGGTGTTTTATGGCATGTACACTTCGAACTGTTACATATGTCCTGTTTCTTTTTGCAGTGTTACAAAGTTAACATCTGCTGCTGCGGTGGGATAGCTGTTACTGATAGTAAAGCTCTGCCTGTGGTTAGGGTAAAGCATTTAGATGGATGGATTTCCTGGGAAGGAAAATAAATTCCAACTTCACTATGAAAGTATATTTTGAGATGTGAGAGCTGCAGTATTGCAGAGCATTTTTGGCTGCTCTCGTGTCAGTCCTTGTTCTTGGTTCCTTCAGATTCAGCTACTCTTCATAGGTCTGTTGGGGACTAAACACCAAGGTGTGTGCTTTTCCTTCACAGGAGCTGCGTGCTGTGGTACAGCAGCTGCAGGCAGAGCTGCAGGACAAGGCTCAGCAGATCCAGGCTGTGGAGTGGGAAAAATGCCGTGAGCTGCAGGCCCAAGAACAGAGGGTTCAGTGTTTGAGTCAGCACCTGGCTCGCAAAGAACAGCTTCTGCAGGTGAGATTCAGAAAGACTCAAACTGAGCATAACTAGCGAGGGCCCCTGCTCCTCCTCCTTTGGTATTGGAGATGCAGAAAGTGGTCTGTACCTTTCATACACACCTATCAAAGAAGGGAAGGAAAAAAAATGCTTCTGTGTTCCCTAGGTGAGGAAGTTGGTACAGATGTCCAAATACCTCAGCTCACAGCGTGGTGAGCCCTGGTGGGCCCTAGTCAACCAGGTGCAGGTGTTCTAATTCCCATTAATGTGGGGAGTAGGTCAGGTGCACAGTCTCCTGTCCAGGGGTTTTCTGGACTAACAGCTGCATTGGCGGTGTGCTACTTCTTTAGGAATCAAGGGAACTTCTGCAATGCCAGCAAAGCTTGGGCAGGAGCTCTGCAGCCATGGATGCTATGCTGGAGAAACTGCAGCAGAGAGTCAGCGACAGGGATGCTGCGCTGGAGGTGAGCATAACCTGTTAGTAACACATCCCTGTTTTTCACGTGGCTTAATCTTTGGGTTACCATCAGTAGTACAGCCCCATGCTCACCTCCATGTTCCTCACGACCCATTCTTCCAGAGAAGCCTTCTGGAAGGGAGAGCTGAAGTGATCCATGCGGAACAGTAAGCTGCAGAGCCTTTCTATCCCACTCTGAGTATTTCACAATTCTCATTCTAGAGAGCAGTAGATGAGAAGTTCTGTGCCCTAGAGGAGAAAGAACAAGAGCTTCAACAGCTCCGTCTCTCAATAAAAGAGCGTGGAGGTGACCTGGAGAGGCTGCGCAACGTCCTGTCCAGCAACGAGGCCACCATTCACGTGAGTCCCTGTACCTGGCTGTATCAAATCCAGCCTGGCTGTGATGTGGAGCAAGGCAAAGCTTCATGTGAATGCTCAGTCTTTTGTCGGGGAGAGCAGTTGTGGGGTGTTGGCTTCCTCTGTCCCTGTGTGCTGGGCAGGTTCCTGGGGCTCTCATGTTTCTGGTCTGGATGTAGAGGTGAAAGTGGTGCCTGGAAAGGATGGAGATGTGTGTGTGTCTTTGTTCAGGGTAAGGTCCCTGCCCCTGATTGAGCTCCTTCTATTTGTCCTTAGAGCCTGGAGAGCCTCTTGAAAGCTAAAACACTGGAACTAGAGCAGATGTCGGCAACCTGTGAAAATCTCCGCTGGCTCAAAGAGGAGATCGAGGCCAAATCCTGCAGCAGGCAAAAGGAGCAGGAGGGGATCATCCAGCAGCTGCAGACTTGCCTGCATGACAGAAACAAGGAAGTGGAGGTAAGGCCTTCGCTTAGACTCTCAAGCATTTAGCCAGGTTGTCTGCAGAGAGAGTGGTCCAAGGCCAGAGCTTCTTGGCTGCCTGTTGCTAAGTGGTTTCTGGTACCTTGGAAACTGGCTGCTTTCAGCACATGTAAATACCTGTGCTTTCTTAAACATTGTCGTCTTAGCTCCATCTGGACTGAAGAGCTGTTTCTCCCTGAACAGATTGCAGTTTGTTCATAGCAGTGTCCCTCCATCTCTCCCTCTCCTTTTGTCTAGGAGCTCACGGCAACTCTGCTGTGCAAGCTGGGCCCAGGACAGAGTGAGGTAGCAGAGGAGCTGTGCTTACGTCTTCAGCGTAAAGAAAAAATGCTGCAGGAGCTTCTCAGTGATAGGAACCATCAAGCTGTGGAGCATGATGCTGAAATCCGGGAGCTGCTGCAGGCCATGAGCACCAAGGAGCAGTGGAGCAAAGTGAGTTGTGTGCAGTGCTGCAGTGGGGGACATTGGGGTGTATGATTCTGCCTCATGTTAAGCGTATTGAAGCCGCTGTCTGGTAACTGTTGGTGTCTGTCTGGAGCTGCTGAGTGCTGGAGAACCACCAAGCTGCTTTTAGGTTGGTCACATGATGATAAGGAGCACTTGTAGCAGTGTTCAGCTCTTAGATCCCTGTCACTGAGTGGCTTGTCAGTGTTTATATGTAATGGGGAAGGAGGTGGGGATCCTCCTGGGTATCTGTGTTCTCAGTCTTGAGGCAGTGGAGGGACCATGGTGGGGTTGCTACTTGTGTAGGTCTGTGTTATAGACCAGAAGGAAAGGCTCAGCTGTTTCTTGTGTAGATCAGAACTCTGAGAAAGCTCTGCTCATTGCATTGCAACTTACGCTTCAGTCAAACTGCTGCAGGATCCTGGACATGTAATGCCACAATTCCTGCTCTGCCCGCTCTTGCACACTGGATACAATTCAGTGTTAACTGAGATACTTCACATCAAGTTTCCTTTCATAAAAAAGAGGAGTCTGAAAAGCTAAACTCTCTCTCATCTCATCTCTCTCCTGCTTTTTTTTTTTTTTTTTTTTTTTTTTCCTTCTTTTTTTTCCTTCTGAAGTGGGAAAAGGAAACTGAGAGACTTGTTCCTCAGTAGGTAGATAGGTAGAGATAGGTTGTAGCTGTCTGGCAAGCAGAAATGAGAGGGTTGCAGTGGAGTAACTGAGTGACCAGAAGCAGTAGCTCCCAGACTGTTTGCAGAACACTTTTATTATCAAGTGACAGAAAAATATCAAGATGTTTTCCTGTAGTCTCTAAGAAAGCTGAGGTCACAGCCCTATTGGTTTGGTTTTTTTTCCTTGCTCAACCAGGCCACTACTGAGAAGATGGTGCATGCTTTGGCTGAAAGAAACTGCGAGTTACAACTCTTGCGTCAGCATGTGTTGAGGAAGGAGCCTGTCGGGATCCAGGCGCCTGGTACTGCTCTGCTGAAGGAGGACAGACAACAGCCTGTGCAGGTAAGAGTCACGTACTCTGTTTTGCCTGTGGTTTTGGGGCTCTGGAGAGAGTGCATTGCCACAGGAGGAACTTACTGAGGGGAGTGCCACAGGGAATGGTAGTACTGAAAGTCGGATTAGGAGAGAGGCTTAGGAGTGACAGAGCAGAATTGAGGAGCAGAAATGTTGCCTGGCTGCTCTGACCTTGATTCCACTAGACTTTGTCACTCATTGTCACTCTTGTTTTGATCAGGCAATAAGCACAAGTGAGTATGAAAAAAATGTGCCTTCTGACCTTCCAGCACTGACCCAGTCCTTCCTTGGGCTGGGCTGTGCCACTGTATTGTAATCCCCTCCTGACATTGTCACATACTGGAGGGGACAAGGGAGCTAATTTTAGGTCTCACTAATTCTTGGCAGAGCCTGCTGGGTGTTTACTGTCTCTTCCACAATTGGGGTTGGTATTTTTAAAGCAGCTCTGCTAAAAAACCCTTTGAGGCTGAGCGCAACTGTAAGGCTACATAAGCCATGTTCCTGCTTGAGCAGCTGTTAATGGTTTATTGGTGAGATGAGATGTTGAAAGTTTTTAAGCAGCTGCAAGCAGGTGGCTCACTTCTATTCCTGGGATGAAAATGAGCTCTGGAGACTTCCCAATATGTGTATTTGGGCACAGCTTTGTGTTTTCCTACCTGCATAGTTCCTCTGGGCCATGTCTTTGGATGAAGATATAGGTCTGTACAGAATCTCAGTTGAAAGATGTGGTTGCTGCAGTTGAGTGAAACTTGCTTAATCCTGACTATAAAGAAGCTTGCTGCCAGCAACCTCTTAGTGCCAAATAAAATAAGGCTAGAGCCCTGTTGCCCAAACATGCAGCTTCCATCTTGTGTGCAACTCTCTTGTCCCCACTGGCTGACTAGATCCTGTCATTGCTTTGTCGTGTTTCAGAGGCATCGACAAAGTAGCCAGCAGGTTTGCTGCAGTCTTAAGAACCCTGGGGAAGCTGTGAGGTTCCCTGTAAAGGTGCAAACCTAGAGGCCTTTGTGTTTTCAGGAAATACTGCAAAGAGCTTGTGGAGCTGCAGACCTTGCTGGACCTCCACAGGAGGACAACACCTGCCTGACAGAAGGAGGTGAGTGACAGCTTCTCTCAGGGTCCTCAAACAAGACCAGGACTTTTCTTGCTGTGGGGCAAGCATACTTACATGAAACCATTGGAGAGTGAAGAGCTTTGAGCGAGAGCAAATGTTTTGAAATAAAGCTGTGCCTCTCCTTTGAGTGATAGTTCATGGATGTCTTGGGAGTGGGTGTGTGGAAAAGAGAGAGGTTGATTTGAAGTGAGATACTTCAGTGCAAGCAGTTGTGTAGCAGTTGTGAAGGGATTGACGTAGTGGTTCAGATAGGGATGAGAATAACGTGGCTGGTTTGGGTTGTGCCCTAAGGCCAGGACATGTCATCTTTGCCAGGGTGAAGACAGGAGGCCTGGGATATTTCTGTTATCTTGGGCTGCTGTTTAAGAGTCAAGAAGGGAAGAAGAATGTTTAGTAAGAGGCAGTGTGGTGGGGAGTGTAATCATTGTGGACTGGTCTTTTTGAAGAGAGATTCTGTCTAATCTTGCAGTCAGAGGAAGCAACTGACACACGGTAACGTTGCAGTAATCAAACTGTCCTTGCAATTGCAGCATCAGCGGCAGAACTGGAGAAGGATCTTGCTGATGCCAAAGAGGAGCTGGAGCTAATGGCAAAGAAGGAAAGGGAAAGCAGAGTGAGTTTGTGCTGAAGCCTGTGGCAGTATTCCTGCCTACAGGAGACCCTTGGGCTGCCCCGCATGAAGGTTTTGGACCCCCCATCATAAGTGTGCGTCAGTGAGAGATGGAACAGCAGCTTGCAGTGCATTTTTACCTTTCTGAAGTTTTTCACACTCTCCTCTTTTGTTCCCAGCGGGAACTTGCTGCTCTCCAGTCCGTTGTGACCACGCAGGAGGAAGAGTTGCAGGTGCAGGCTTCTGATATAGAGTCTCTGACCAGAAGCATCCAGATCAAAGAGGACCTCATCAAGGTGAGATAACATGCTGTGCTGGGTCAGCTTCTTCTGAGACTGTTGCAGTGGAGTCTCTGCTTTCCCTGCATCCTGTCCTTCGTGGTCACTCATTTCCAATGAATGGCAAGACATCAGAAACCACGCTGCAGGCTGCTTGTGATAGCCATGACCAAGTACCTCTACTACTGCAAGGAGCCTCTTCAGAGTAACATGGCTGTTTGTGTATCATTTTGCTTTTGGTTTGCCAACAGCCCTCTGTCTTGAGCTGGAAGTTATGGGCCCCAAATCCTGAGAGTGTCATTATTAGACTTTTTGTTCCTTGATTGCAACTTTCTTGAGCACTTCAAACAGATGTTGTGTTCCTTCTTCATTCTTGCTCCAAGCAGTTTTTTATGTTAATACATGCTGGATGCATTGGCATTTCTTTCCTAGGAGACCCAGGTCTTCTCTAGCACTGGAATATGTTGGTAACTGCATTCCAGGGAGGGTCACAAGTTTCCAGCTGTCCTTGTTATTGATCCCTTCTCCACAGATCCCTCCTGCCTCTTGCTTTTCAGGATCTGCAGATGCAGCTGGTAGATCCTGAAGAAATTCCGGCAGTGGAAAGGCTGACACAAGAAGTGCTGGTACTCCGCGAGAAAGTGGCCATAGCAGAGTCGAGAGGACAAGAGGCTACTGGAAACAGAAGGCAGCAGGTAGTGTGTCCTGCAGGGCAAGTTTGAATGTGTTTGTGTTTTATCTGGTGCTCAGTTACAATGCTTTATTCTCAGCTGTTGGATATGCTGAGGTGTGCATTTTCTTCAGAGCTGGCTGCATGTAACAGAATAGAAAGCACTGGTTCCCTTTGGCATTTGTCTCAAGGGCATAGACTTTTGGGGAGTGGTGTCCAGGGTTGGCAATACTCAATAGCTTCTGTACAAGCAAGAGAGGTGTTGGTGCATCTGGAAGGAGAAACCACTGTATCCCTGAGCAGCCAGATGCCTCCTTTGATTTATCTCAGTGTTACATCCTGTCTGTTCCCTTCGACCAGTTGTTGCTGATGCTGGAAGGGCTGGTGGCTGAGAGGAATCGGCTAAATGAGGCTCTCCAGGCAGAGAGGCAGCTCTACAGCAGCCTGGTAAAGTTTCACACACACCCAGACAGGTAAGTAAAGCTGCCTCGGCTCCATGCTGCCCTGCTTGTTGCCAGGATTTGTGTGTGTGGGCCAGTGGGGCAACCCCTGAAGCAATGATTGTTTTAGGAGTCCAGATCTTAGGCTGCCTTCTTCCCTTAAAGAGATTGCAGTGGCCAGCTTTAAATGACATATAACCTCCTCCCGTTGCTGTTTCTTGTTCAAGCCCTGGGATTTCCATCCCTGTTCCTTGGCTTACTCACTCCCTGCTCAGTTTCCCACCCGCATATGGCTACCTTTCAGAGGCTGCTGTTTTCACCCTGCCAAATTCCTCACCAACTGCTGGGTTGATAAAGATCTCTCTAGGCTCCTATCGAGGAGGCTGTCCCACAGTGGCATACCACTGCATTCTTTGTCCTCCGTGCTAATCCCCTGCCCTTCATGGGGCTGCAGCCTCTGGGATATTTGAGCTACCTGACAGCAAGAGAGCACATACATGAAGTACTGCAGTAAGTATTGAAGAACAGCTGTGATTAGGGGTCCCCAGCACGGACTGGAGCCTTTTTTGGGGATGGCTGTGCTCTGGGGAGGTGAGAGGTGTCTGAGTCACCTATGGGAGTGTGCAGGGCCTGTACCTGGGGGAAGTGGAAGTCCTGGATGGAGGAGCCAATTTGGTGTGCACTTGCTGCACCTATCTAACCCTGTTCCTTTCTGTGTGGTGTGTCTGCTTAGCGCTGCGAGGGACTGCACTCTGCAGGTGGAGCTGGAAGGGGTCCAAGAGCTCCGGGGACAACTGGAAGAAGCTCTTGGAAGAAGCTTGGAGCGTTTGAGCAGGCTGGAGACACAGGGCCCCATAGGAGGTGGGGAACAGGAGCGTGTGAGAGTCCTACCCCAGCATGCCTTCTGAGCACTAGCGCTCGCCCGCCTGCCACGGAAATGGTTCACTAACTGAGCGAGCCTGTCTCACTGACTCTGGGAGGGTTGCTTTGGTACTTAGCAATGGTACGATAGAACCGGTGCAGGGTTTTTTGTTTTATTTTTGAGCTGCTTTGGAAATGGCGATCAGTGCAATTCACCTGTGTCTCATGTATGTTCCTGTCTGACTCACCCCGGTGCCCGCTGATGTATTTGCACATTCAGATCATTCCATTTTAGTTGATTTCCTTCCATTTTCCCTTTTCCCTACCCCATGGGCCAAATAAAGATTCCCTTTCTCTGAAGGAAACACCAAATGTTCTCTCTCATCTCCCAAGTGCATGAGTGTGAAATTTTTGTATTCCCTCCCTGCTTTTCTACCCAGTGACATCACCCTCTTGGGTTGATGGCTACTGGCACAAAAGGAGTGTTTGGAGATACGGGTTCCAGAGACAGAGTTTGAGAAGGGCTGCAAGACCTGATGGCACTTGCATAGGGTTTCTTCCACAAGTCTCTTTGTAGAACCAACAATTATGTTCAAACCAAATCCTACTCCAGCATTGATTTCACCGATTTTTATTAGTTTTTTTATTTTTGTTTCTCCCCTTGGTTGTAAGTTGCCATAGTCTCACTTGTAAGTGCCTTTGCAGGAAAGCTTCCTCCCTGCTGTAGGAGCCTGGGCTGGGTCTGCTCCTGTCTGTAACATGCACATCTCATGCATAGGCTCCACATGCCCACTGGACCAGGCCTTCCTCTGCTTTGCTAGGGACCAAGTGCACTTGGCACCACTGTGTACAACTTCTAGGACATCTTTCACTTCTCCTAGGAGTATTGGGGCTGGTGTAAGAACTGAAATGTTTCCAATATCCCAAGCACTTCCCAAGTGTTTGAGTTGGCTTCCTCATATTAAATCATTTCCCAAAGTGCCAGGAGCAAAATTTGTGCCTTTGAACATGTTTCTGTTTGCTGGGGAAGCAGAACATGGAGCAGAAGAGCTCCATCTTGCTGGGCTCTGCCTTCTGGACCTGTAACCTCTCTGCTGTACAGCTTGTGACTGCTTCACACATCGTACAACTCACACCTTGCACCTCTGCTGAGGTCTTCCTTGACTCAGTCAGGGATAGCAGACAGGATGGCTCTCCCTTCACATGCAGCAGGTCAGCACCCCTCTGGGGCTACACCTAGCTGCATGGTGAGTTCATCTGTCCTCGTGTGGCCTGAGGGCTCATAGCTGGTGCTGCTGGGCAGCTCTGGTACCTGGCTAGCCTTGCTTTTCTTGCTTCATCTCATTCTCTTCCTTTCAGTTCTCTCTGTAGGATCATCTCTTTCTCCTTCTGCCACTCACTCTGTAGGAGCCTCTATGTCCTTTTCCTTATCTTTCCATCTTTCTTCCTCCAGCCTGGTTCTCCTTTCTGCCTGTCTCTTGGAGCCCAGGGCCCAGTGCAGGCTGCTTGGCCTCAGCTGGTGCTCTGGCAGCTCCCAGCTCTTGTTATGCTCGTGTTTTGTTGCAGATCTGTCCCTGCTACCATCGCTGATGTTAAGTGGTGTAGAGGGATCACTCTTAAGCAGAGTTGTCCCAGGTTTTCTACTGTGTTTCTTTGGGCTTTGCTTTAGCCTTTGTATACCTGTCTGTGCACTGTTCTGCCCTGCAGGACCAGCTTAAGAAACCTATGCCTAAGAACATCCTTTTGAGCTGTGCAGTGCTTTGTGCTGTGTCACAGCCTTTTGTGGAGGTCTTTCCTTTCTCAGTCTCTTTGGAGTCTTGTTTCTCACCCCCTGTACCTAAGGATGTGAAGATTTCCATTGCAGCCAATACTGTGGGCAAGTCCTGCAGCCAGTAACCTTTCCTTCAAGTACAGAAGTCTGTGATGTACAAAGCTCAGGGTGCATCTCTTGTCCCCTTTACAAGTGCTACATGGAGTGCTGGGGAGCCCTGAGTTTGCATCCTGGGGTGCTCTGGGTTCTGTGGAGTGGTCAAACACTTGGTGAACGTCCCATGCACATGCTTCTCTGCTTTCGTCAGCACCTGTCTCCCCTTCTTTCTCCCCTTTTTTTCACCTCATTTGAGATTTGCGCTCTCAGCTGAGACCTGCAGGGAGGAGCAGTGTGCCAAGTGCTGGCAGAGATGATACTCCCATGTCCGTAAGGCATCTATGCTGGCTGTGAGCCACTCTGCCTTGCTTCTCTGCCTGTAGTGCCCCGTGCAGGTGCTCCTCCTGCTCTAGCGCAGCCAGCAGCCCAAGGGCTGTGTCCCCGTGCTGAGCACAAGTCTGCAAGCACTGAGCTGGGTGGCTTGGCATCTGCTGGCTTTGTGTCCCTGAGGGGTCACAGGGCTGTGCTTTGACTGTGCTGGGTGCCACTTTAAGGGAGCTACTGCCCCTTCCAGCTGCTTCTTCCTGCCTTAAGGGAGTGTGGTGGCTGTCAGTGTCTCTTCTTGTTGAACGTACTCTGCCGCGTGCGGCACTGTCTGCCCAGGCTGGGAATCGCTCCTGATTTGTTTGTTTGTTTGTTTGTTTGTTTGTTTGTTTGTTTAGCACCCCTCCAGTTGCTTTTCATGAATAGGTCTCCTGATGGTGCCACTGTTCAGGTGCTTCCCTGCTGCAAGGTGTACTCCTGGCTGGTCCTCAGCTCTTGTTCTAGTAACTATATGCTTTCCTGTTGGTTTCTCCTTCACTTGTGAGATTTTACATCTCCTCTGCGTTCCCTATGTATGCTCGGCTCCCTCAGTTGGGAGCTTCAGCCCTGATAGCATGGGTTTGCCTGCAGGCTAAGTGGCTGTGGCTTCTGCAGGGCTTGGTGGGGGCTGCAGAACCTGACCCTGCGTGGCTGTGCAAACTGTCCAGGCTCTTATCTCCCTGGGGAGGGATGTCACTGCCCTGACCCATCCCCAACCAGTGGAGCAGGCTGGGCTCTGCGACTGCGTGGGAGGACTGTGAGAGAGTGGGCTCATACACTAAGGCACTGGGAACAAGCAGAAAAGTGTACCCACTGCCTGATTTGTTGAGCAGAATAGTCCCCAGCCCCCTGTGCACATTTCTGTGTGTTGTTAACTCTGTGCGCTAGGCTATGGGATACAAGTGACCTTATGGCTGTGCTGTAGCTTTGTAAGGCCAGTATATGTCACACAAAGAACACAGAGGTATGCATAGCAGTGGTGCTGAGGTGGGATGGGCAGTTGCACAAGGTAGTTTAGAGCAATGCTAGTGAGACTGCCTGCCCATCAGGTGCTGCTGCTGGTGGCCATAGCTGAGGATATCGTTGCTGAGTGGGTCGTGCACATGAGTGTTGATGCAGTGAGCTCAAGCTGCTGCAGAAGCAGTGATTGGAGGGGATGAGATGAGATGGGATGGGTGGTATTGCTGGAATGGTCTGCTCCTTGGGGCAGCACATGGTGCTGAATGGGAGCTCCATCATGAATGAAGTGACAGGTCACAGGGATGGAAGGGAGACCTTCATCCTGCTGGGGTGCCCCAGCACCAGGCATGTGCAAGAGCAGGCACCTGCCCAAGGGCTGCCTGCGATGGCCATGGATATTGCTGGGGACATGTAGACAGTGGCAGTACTGCTGTTGCCATTGGTCTGAGCACCTTGCTGTCCCTTAGGTCAGGCTGCAGGGACAGAGGTTGGTGATGCTGACTTTACCAGCACTAAGGAAGAGGTGGCTCACAGCACCGTGACCCAGCAGGTAAGCATGGGCAGCGTGGCATGGGGAACAGGGGTTGTAGAGCCAGGTATTGTGCTGCTGTCTGGTCCCTTTGAAAATGTCTCTATCTGCCTTTGTTCCTCCAGACTGGTTCCCGGGCTCCTAAGGAAAGCAGAGGCACCGAGAAGAAGAGCACAGCCCCTGCCCCAGCAGAGCAGGAGCTGCGGGCAGAAGAGGAGCTGCGGGAGCTGAAGGCGCAGCTGGAGGAAGCAGGCTTCTCCTCTGTGTCTCACATCAGGCAAGAGCCTGGGACATGGGAGCTGGTGGGTGGGCGAGGAGCACCCCCCATCCTGGCTGCTGCCTGCCTTTCACAGCACCACATGCCCCCCAGGAAAGCGATGCTGAGCCTGTGCCTGGAAAACGCAGAGCTGAAGGAGCGGATGGGTGAAGCCACATCGCTGCTGGAGAGTGGGGAACAAGAGGAGGCTGGGCTGGGCAACCCTCCATCACCAGAGCCCTGCAGGATGCAGCGGAAGGGCCGTAGTGTCCTTGGGGATGGCCAGGGGCTGCTGGCAGAGAGGGGAGCTGTGCCCACCAAGCGCCCTGCGCTGGAGGCACGGTGCCAGGATGACGCACCCAAGAGACTGTGCCCCAGCAGCCCAGGTGGAGGGGATGGGAGCCATGTGAGTGCTGCAGCCATGGGATTGGGATGGGGACAGGAATGGAGCAGTGCTGGAGGGCTCACAGTCCCATCTCCCCTCTGGCAGGTGGAGGGCATGGTGCCCTGTGGAAGCTGGCCAGGGCTGGGTGTGGAGCTGCACTCGCAGGTGGCACAGAAGCAGTGCCAGGAGCTGCAGGACAAGCTGGCTGCCTCCGAGGCAATGGTCCGAGCACAGGCTGAGCAGCTGGAGAAGTACCACATCCTGCTCCGTGAGTGGAGGGGTGGGTGGGATGTATGCCCAGCTCGGCATGCCCTGCACATGCACCCAACCTGCAGGGGGTCCCTGAGCTGGTGCGGTGATGCCCAGCAGGTGAGCCCCATGCCCAGCAGCTCAGCAAGCATGTGCAAGTGGACTTTCAGGACTTGGGCTATGAGACATGTGGGCGGAGTGAGACTGAAGCTGACCGTGATGAGACCACCAGCCCTGGTAAGGAGAGCTAGGGGCACTGGGGGTCCTTGTGCCTTGCCTGCTTGGCACAGAGAAGTGATACTGTCCCCTCTGCAGAGTGTGAGGAGCCAGATGTGTTCAGCGAGCCCAGCCTTGGGGAGGAGCTGGGCTCCCCACACCGCTCGGGGCTGCCCAGGGTGGGCAAGGCTGCTCTGAAGGCTGTGGCCCAGCCTGATGTGGGAACCCTGCGCCAGCACATCCAGGATCTTAAGGCACAGCTGCTCAATGCCAACAAGGTGATCCAGAGCCTGCAGCGCCGTACGCGTTCCATCTCTGTTACCAGTGGCTACACCTCAGGCCCTGAGCGGCCCCCGCTGTGCCCCACCGTGCCGGTATCGCCACCCCACAGCCTCACCGATGAGGACGAGGGCTGGCAGTCAGACAGCCATGGCACCCTGTGCCCACAGCGCGACCTGGAGCACCTGGTGCACCGTGTAGCACTCCTCGAGGCACAGCTGCCTCCTGCCAAGCTGGGGGGGGGCTTCCCCAAGGAGCTGCAGTCTGCCACTTGGCCAGGGTATGGCATGGGCATGTGTATTGGGATGGATGGGGGGGCTACAGGATGTTGCAGGGGTTGCCTGAAGTGGTTGCTTGCAGAGCCCCAGGGCTGGATGGTGTGCACATGTCCATGGCACCTGTCCATGCTATGTCATGTAGGCAGTTCTGGGGACCCCTTCCTTCCCAACCCTACAGGAAATACAACTCGCTGATCCAAGCCCAGGCCCGGGAGCTCTCCCACCTGCGGCAAACGCTGCGTGAGGGCCGTGGAGTGAGCCGCAGCCTGGCCCAACACCTGCACGATGCCCTGCGCTCCTTTGAGGAGCTCCTTCGCGGCACCGACATTGACTACTACCTGGGCCAGGGCTTCCGGGAGCAGCTGGCCCAGGGCAGGCAGCTGGCCGAGAGGCTCAGTGATAAGCTGGGCACCAGTAAGTGCCTTGGGGGGCACTGGGTGGTGTGGGGGCATGAGGAATGGGAAGGGATGATCTGATGGGTGCTGCTGTGAGCTGGAACCGTTTGGACATGGGGGCTACCTGCCCTGCTGTGGGCTGTTCTGTTGGTTCTGAAAGGACACTAAGTGGTTCCTCTTTGATTGCTCTTGTGTTTTTTTTCAGGGGATCGACAGGATGGGGAGGATAAATCTAGCCATGAGCTCCTGGCACTGAGGTACACCCTCTTCCAGAGGGACACCCTGGGGGTCATCGCTGCTTTTGGGATGGGGTTCCGTAGTGCTCTGGGTGGCTGTGCTGGGGATGCCACTGCTCTCCTGGACTTGGCATCTTGTGGCTCTGCACTACAGTGTGATGCTATGGTGGACAAGGCACAGCAGGGAACAGCTGTGCAGGGTCACTAGCCTCGCTGATGGGCTGTCTCTGCAGGCTCAGCCGGGAGCTCCAGGAAAAGGAGAAGGTGATTGAGAGACTGGAGGCGAAGTTGCAGGAGCGATGTGAGTCACCAGGCAGCAGTCACCCACCCTCTGAGTCGTCCCGCTCTGCTACCAGCACCTCCTTTGTGTCCGATGTTCTGGAGCCCTGCTCTGATGGGGAAGCAGCCAGCGAGTGCAGCCAGTGCCCCGAGGAGCCCGCCCGACTCTCAGGTACCAGGAGCTGGGGGCATGCAGCCCCTCTGCAGCGCATGGCTGCAGCACGGAGCCCAACGCTAACACCTCTCTTCATCTCTCTCCTGTCTCCAGGCCTCCACTTTGACTCTTTGTCCAAACCCAACAGCGCCCCTCTGCCAGCACAGGCACCCACTCACTCCTTCCTGCCCATTGGTCACCCTGTGCCCTTGGGCTGCTGCAGGACCCATGCTTGCTCCCTGGCCAAGGCACAACAGGAGCTGCAAGTGCTCCAGAGGCAGCTGGGAGAAAGTGAGCGTGCACCCCTGCCATGGGGCATGGTCCCGTCTGCCCTGCTACATTGTACTGTGTGGCCCCTGGCCCCCAGCCTGAATGTCCTTCCCTGGCCTTTCTCCTTCTCCCCAAGTCCCAGTGCTCTTGCAAGGGGATGATAGGGACATGTGGATCCTCTTGTACAGAAGAAAGGGTGGGTGGAATGAACACCCCTTGGAAAAGGCTGCTTTGGGTAGCCATTGAGTAGAAGAAGGGCTGAGGCTTCCCAGCTTATGTCATGCAGTCAGCACACACTGGGAGAACCTCGGTTCCTCGGGGTGAATGGGAGACAGTGGGCTGCACTGATGGGCACAGCAAGAAGCATGTGGCGAGAGGGTTTGTCATCCCAATTCTTCCTTTCTGCCCTTTGTTCTCCTTTTCCTCACCACTTTGTCCTGTGTATGTAGATGTGACGCTGCCAACAGCAAAGCCCACAGCCTCGCTGGGCCCCTTTGGAGTGGGCAACAAGCCAGCAGCATCAGTGTGCCAGCATGGGGCTCTGCAGAGCTTATCCAAGCCCCCTGTCCTCTGGGACATGCCAGCTACTGGCCAGCTTTATGGGGCACTGCCATCAGGGTGCTCAAACAGCCAGAAGCTAACAGGTATGAGATGTGTTGGGAGCCTGGGGGCATCACTGCTGAGGAGACTCAGCCCCAGAAGGTTCAGGGCAGGGGGAGGCAGGTGGTGGGCATGGTGTGGGGTGGGCAATGTGGCTGTCATGAAGACGTGTCTGTGGATGTGCAGGGGCAGAACTGCTGGAGGAACACCTGGTGGAGATCCGCAGCCTGCGCCAGCGCCTGGAGGAGTCCATCTGCACCAACGACCGGCTCCGGGAGCAGCTCGAACGCCGCCTGGCCTCCACCAGCAAAGCCAGTGGTACAACACTGCATGGGGTCACTGGGTGCCATGCTCCCTGGGTGCTCACCTCCTGCATGTCTTGGTGCTGGGAAAAGGGGCTCAGCACTTGTCCCTCTCCACAGGTTTGCCCAGCGACATCTATGCTCAAGGGCCAGAGCTGGGGCTGCAGCTGAGCGGAGAGAACCGGGCACTGCGTGAGGACAACCAGACCCTGCGGCTGCAGTGTGACCAGTTCTCTCGAGGTAGGGCTGGGCCGCCTGTGTTTTAGAGGGGAATTGCTGAGCAGGGTGACACTGATGTCTCCATATCCCTAGAGCTGGCACGGGTGCAGGAGGCCCTCCTGGCTGCTTGCTCACGAGTGCGGGAGGCAGAGGCTGAGCTGGGCCAGCGGCGTGGGGAGCACCGGAGGCTGGCAGAGGAGCTCACCAAGCACCAGGAGAGCATCCGGCAGCTGCGGGATGAGAGGCTCTCTCTGCAGGAGGACAACAACAGGTGAGGTCTGGGGATGGCAGGGCTGAGCATTGTGGCTGGCTCTGGACCTACATGTCACCTCTGTGCAGGCTGCAGCACACAGTGACGCTCCTGCAGCAGCAGTGTGAGGAGCACCGCCTGCTCCTGCAGGCCCTGCGCACGGAGCTGCATGTCTACGAGAGCCTTCCCAGCCCTGCCACTGAGCCCCGTGCAGGTATCAGCACTGTGCCCAGCTCGGCAGCCCTGCTCCTGGCCTTGGGATGCAGAGAGGAAGGGAAGTCCCCAGCAGCCACAGCCATCTGCAGGGCTCAGTTGGATCTTGTTCCAGGCTGCTTCCCATCTCCTCCCGTGCGGGATGTTGGCACCAGCTCAGCAGCTCCCTTTTCTTCACCACACTCTGACACTTTCGTGCCCCAGCATACAGTTGGTAGGTACCTGAGCCCTCCTGCATGAGTGCTCCTGAGACTGAGATACTCACGACACCCTTGCTGAGCTCAGGGCAGAGCTACAAGGGGAAGGAAGCAGTGCGCCTCACCAGTCCTGCTGTCCCTACAGAGCCGTGTAGGGCCAACCTTCCAGTGAAGAAGAGCAAGGTGGGGGCTCATGTTGTTGGGTGCCTGGACACCTACCGTTCCTTGGAGCAACGCATCCTGGAGGGGAAGGCGCTGGCCCACGAGTTGACATGCCTGACACGCCCAGCACTCGGGCCGTCCAGCACAGGAAAGGAGGTACAGGGCGGGCAGGATGGGCTGGGGGCCTGCAGTAAGCAGGGATCTGCCACTTACTCCATCTGTTCCATGGCTGTGGGCATACCAGGCTGCTACCAGGTGCAGGTGCTGATTGGGTGATTTAGGGCTGGATCCTTGCAGCACAGTCCCCATAGCAGGGGAGGGGGATGGAGGTGCTTCAGCAGCACCTGCTCCCGCACCTTTTTCCCACAGGTCCCGGGATGTGTAGGCGCAGGGCATCTCTGGGGCAGTGCCAGCACCCTGCACCGTGTCCTGGAGGAGTGTGCCTCACTCCTCACCACCTTCTGGAGCACCGTGCTGCCCGTTGGCCCTGCTCAGCACCAGGGCAAGGTGAGCACCATTGGGAGCCAGCAAGGTGAGCAGGCCAGATGCTCACTGCTCACAGCATGTCTTATCCCAGGAGCAGGCATTACAGAGTGAGATCATGGCACTGCGTGCCCAGCTCTCCAAGAGGGAGGATGCTCTGCAGAGCACAGCCAAGCAGCTCCACAGCATGGCCCAGCTCAAGGACAGCATGGAGCAGTTCATAGTCAGCCAGTGTATGTGGAACAGCTGTGCTGGTCCCCTGGTACCCTTGTACCTGGGGTCACCCTGTGGCACAGGAACCTCACTGACTCTGTACCTCTATCCCTCACAGTGACCAGGACTCACAATGTGCTGCACAAGGCCAGGACAAACCTGGAGGTGAGTTTGCCCTGGACAGGGCTGTATGCCCTTGTCCTAGTGAATGTTTCTGGGCCTCATCTGGGGCTGGGCTCAGACGGCAGACAGCAGAGGGTGAGGTGAGCCCAGGATGCATTGATGTGAGTCCTGCGGGCTGCCCTCACTCTTTGCATCCCTGTCCCTGGAGAACAACAGTTCCAGCCAAGCCCTCACTGCTGTGCGTGCTCTCTCACCAGGTGAAGGCCCAGCAAGCCCTGCCTGTTGCGTGAGCCTCGGGCTGAACAATGGGAGCAATGTCCCTGGCCACACAATGGCCCACGCTGGAAGGCTGGAGTGGACAGGGTTCAGGGGTGCCCAGCGCTGCCCCAGGCACTGCAGTTAGTGGGTCTGGGGACCTGTGGCAATCGTGCGCCCTTCACCTGCCTTTTCTTGGTATTGCAGCAGCTGGCTTGGGCTTTGCCTGCCCCATGCTTCACTGCTTGCCCCCTTCCTCCCACTGTGCTCAGAGTGGGGTGCCATGGCCCTCCAGCCCAAGCACCTCTTGCCCTGGGACTCAGTCTCATGTGTAACCTTGCTGCATACCCACCCCCGCTCATGGATGTATGTATATATATACAGAGAGAGGTATAGATATTGGAGCTGTGTTTCTGGGCCCTCCCTGGGCATGTCAAGGCTCCAGCATGGGAGAAAGATGTAAGAAATGACACGTTCTGTTCAGTGGCCTGAGGGTCCCCAATAAAGGTTTCCTTTGGGTCCCAGTGTTTGCAGCACACCTATCCCTGCTGTGCCCCCTCCTGTAGCCTCCTAGGGACCGAGCGGCTGTCCCAGGGAGCAGCTCTGTGCTGAACTTCCCAGGGGTGCACTGTGGCACAATGGTCTCACTGTTCCCAAGCACCCCTCCAACACCAGGCCTGCAGCACAGAGAACAATAAATACTGTAATAAATAGAGAAAACCCTGTCACATGGCACTGCTACAGCAGCAGATGGTGTAGCTGGGGTCCTGGGGTATCTGCCTTGCTCCGCCCTCCCCAGGCCCACCAGAAGCACCTGATGGTGGTGACGGGGCAGATGTTCAGTCCTTGATGGTGCTGTCCTGGCAGCAGGTAAGCACGGTGCATCCAGCTGTGCCCTCCTTCCTGCTGACTCAGCACTGAACGTGGTAGAGAGCTGTGGCCAAGAGCTCTCCTTGAAGCTGGGGAGTACAAGGAACAGGACAGACAGGGCTGAGGGACAGGGGACAGCGGCAGGCTAAGGCTCCCCAACCTTCCAGGGACGTGGTCTTGGAGGCTTATTACCAGCGCAGCAAAAGGACACTTTGCTGCTGGCCTGCAGAAAGTGCCAGGACAGCCTCAGGGCCATCACAGTCTAGAGCAGAGGGGCAGTGAAGCCCTTTCCATGTCAGGAGTGAGGAAAGGCTGTTCCGTGAGCAGCAAAGCAGCCCCAGGGACTCACTGAAGCCAAGGGGAGCTGCAGGTGGGCGGAAACCAAGGGTTAAATCAAACCACACCAGTATAATGGGACAGCAGGATGGCCCCAGCAGGCCTGCACTCATCACTGGGGGCTGCACCCCCCCCCCGGGTTGGAGGCTGGATCCAGCAGCCAGTCCTCACACAGTCCTGTGGCCCAGCATGTGCAGACAAAGTGGCATTTCGTGTCCTGCGTGGGGGGTGGGCAAAGCCCCGGCTCAGATAGGTTTGTACAGCAGCGTGGTGACGTACTTCTTCTTGTAGCGGTGTGTGGCACTGAGCACCATTACGCCGTCCTGTGAGAGGCAAAGCACCAGCTGCAGGGGTTGGGGAGCTCAGTGCTGCAGGGCACCCCCAGGCAGCTGGGAGAAGAGGCCCTTGCTGTTCTATGGGCTTGGGGGACTGGCACAGCCAGCAAGAACCACCCACCACCCATGACAGGGAGCCGGGGAAGAGCAAGGGAGGGAGCTGGTTTGTGACAGAAGAGCACCAGGCTGCCCAGCTCCACCATGCTGTGAGAAGGCAGCTACAGGGAACTGGGGGCTGTAAGAAGGTCACCACCACCCACACCCCTGCACATGCCACATTTATAAAGGCAGCCAAGCAATCCCCAGGTGACTCCTTGGACCTCTGTGCCACCATCACCACCCCAGGGCTGTCCAGGTTCTATGACCTGCAGGCCTCTGGGAGCCACATTTGCTCCCCCTTCCCCAGTCTGTGGTTGCTGGGGTCTGCCCTTACCTTGATGGAGAGTGCGTAGAGGTGATTGAGCATGACGTGGTTGGGTTCAGGCAGTAGGGCCGGGTCACACTAGGACAAGAGAAGCATCAGAGGAGAATAGCAGAACCCTGACCCCCCAGCATGAGAAGCAAAGAGCTGCCATCTCAGACAATCTGAGCTGCTGGGTAGCTGTTCAGAACATGAACAGAGTTTGGCTCAGCACTAGGAAGAGTGGTTAATGAGAAAATCGATGCTCTTTCCAGCAAAGAGCAAGGGCCAGGCACCAGCTAAGGGCTGAGCAGGCTTCTTGCAGACAGGACTCCCCTTCTGGCCTCTACGTTGCTCTCTGTATGCAGCCGTGTGCTGGTACCCACCGAGATATTGGTGTCCTTGTTGAGGATGACCTGGAGGAGGTGAGGCGGGAGGATGGGAGGGGATTTGAAGCGTTCCTCAGGCCGGTACACATACATCTCTTGGCCATAAGGTCCGGGTGGGGAACTTGATAAGTCTAAAGGAAAGAGACAGGAGGTGGTATAAGATGGCTAAATCACAGATCAGCTCCAAGGATGCTGAGAAGAACCCAGCAGGGTCTTTCAGACATTGAAGGATTCCATGAGCCCAGTCTGCAACTAGTACTGAGAAGACTGGGTCAGCATGTAGTAGGGCAGCAGTACAGGCTCATCATGTTTAGAAGCCACAGCATCTAGGGAACAGAAAGTGGCTTGTTCTGTTTCAGAAAGGTCTTCAGACCTCAGTTTTCCATTAGCCATGTATCGTATAGTAACAGATCAGACTTTTCACAGCAGAATAAGCAGCCAGGCAAGCTGTGGGCATATCCAAGAATGCCTGTAAGGTGGCACATGCATAGACACAACACAGGCACCCCGTGGTATCCACCCCAAGACTCCTGCACACAACTCCCAGCACTACTGAGTACCCCTGCCTGTTCCAAGCGGCCTGCCACCATTGCAGCAGACACAAGGATGCAGGGGCACAGCAAGCAGCACATCTGCACAACTGCCTGACTCAGAGGGCCCAGAAGGGGAAGTCCAGATTTATGAGGTGCTCAGCCTGTGTAAGGGATCTCAGGAGCCTGTGGTCTGTAAACTGGACAGATTGCATCTCCCAGCCACATCTGAACTGCTCATTTTGGAACAGCCAGCACCCTGAAGGGTCCACCTCCTTGGAGATGCTGTTTGATGGCTTCTTTTTGGACTAGGCAACGGCCTGGAACAGAGGCTGTACCTGAGATAGGACTTAGAGCATGGAGGGCAGGCTGCACTCAGAGCACCCTGGACTGAAACATGACTGGACTACCTGCCAGCACCGCTTACCAAGCCAGCAATGCCAGCATCCATGTGGTAACTCAACCTGCTGATGTAACATGAGCGGAGAGAGGTTTCCGATGTGCTAGCAATTGTACAAATAGCCTTGGTGTGAAAACCAAGAGCAGCTGCTGAAAATAGCCTGGATCCTTACTTAGCTTTTTAGATCCACTTAGCTTCTACCCCAGATCAGATGACTTACTCACAGTTTAGCAGACAGAAAGGAGAGATGTTCCCTGTGTTCACTGGTCTGTAATGGCCATCTCAGCTGCAGGAAGGCACCAGCCCTGCTCTGGGACCATGCTAACACAGAACAAGTTACACCAGCACAGCCTCCTTGGAGACAATGTCTCAGCTAGAAGCTGCTGAGGACATGGGCAGGATGTGCTGCCAAACATTAATCTCTCTGTGTGTACGGGCCCACACCTCTAAGGGGAGCTGTTTGTCCCCATAGCAGTGAGTCTCAGAGTAGGAGATGGAAAATAGCACATGCAAAGCTGTAATGCCACAAAAACTCACCCCGACCTGAGGTTTCTGAGCTCTCCAGGGAATCCACTTTTAAAGCGTCGAACACCTCAAAGTCAGACTTCTTGACATGAATCAGATTGTTAATCGTCCCCATCTGGCTGGTGACCACGGGCTGGAAAGAACTAAGGTAAGAAGCTTCCTACGTACAGCCTCAGTTGAAGCATACTCGTGCTTCTGAGCTTGTCCCAGCCTGAGCTGCCACTGTTATGCCATTACCTCAGAGCATAGGTGGCAAGAGTTTAGCTTTAGCATTTGCAGATCTCTGCTGCTTGCCCTGGGAGATTTCCCCTTACTCCCAGGCTCCTATTACCTCTTACATTCATCTTTCCTGCTGCATGCTGATGGGTAAGCATCATCTCCTTCCCATGCTGCTCCTGTGTGATGCAGCTGGGAGAAGAACCTGCAGTGAATGCTGGCTTGTCTTTCCAATTCAGAATGTGCATTTAAAGCTTACTGGGATCTCACTGCCACCCAATACATCCCTGACATTCCCCCATATTCCCCCATACAGCTGGTCCCCACACAGCATATCTAAGCCCAAAAGAACCAGCCTCTGAGTGGATTCATGAGATGGAGGTTCCCCTTTTGCATTGGCAGATATCCTCTGCTCTTCATACTTCTCTTCTGCTATGTTTACATCACGTTTTGGGCCCCAAAGAGGACAAGATTTGCAGTGATAAAGCTTTGAGAGTTACCTCGGATGGGTCATGGACCCACTGGCCATCCACAAAAAATTTGTACTGGTGCTCTCCTTCTGGGAGGTCTAGGATAGCGACAAAGTCATTGTGGCTGTGCAGAGAAAACAGATGTACAACACCATTACTGCAGTGATGCTTTGGATGCTGCCTCTCCATGGGGTCCCAGAGAACAGCACTTTGTCATGCACTGCCTGCCCCCTTGACCCAAACACCCACGTACTGGGTTAGGACTGCTCATCACTCAAGGCATGGCCAGAGCCGGTGTGAGTGTCCAGAGCCTAAGTATGACTCAGATCCCTCAGGGTCCATAAAATCATAGACTCATTAGGGTTGCAAAAAAACACTAAGATCATCTGGTCCAATCAGGGCACAAGGTGAACAGGAGCTCAGCTTGCAGCCCTGCTCTGCATGCTCTGGGGAAGCTGGCATGACAGATGTCATGCGCAAGACACACTGGACAGGGCGAGTGGACAACAAATCTAAACCTGTGCTGGTACTGCAGGATGGAAGCAGGAAGTGCCTCTGAAGTCTGCAATTGAGATAATCCCATTCTAGGTATTTCCTGGGATTATGCCCAGTCCTACACAGTGTTTCCACAGAAAACACAGGTGTGCAGCAGAACAACGAGAACGTTACTATGGGAGGAAGACGTGAGGAACAACTAAACTCCCTCTAGCAGCAACGTAGACAAGGAGATAGGCCACCAAGCTTCAGAAAACTGCAGCATACCTGGGCAGGGCTCTGCTGCCAGAATGACTGCTGTGTGGCATGCAATTGGGAAAGCAAGGAGGCCCATCCTGTCCTGTCCCCCGTTTCACAATTTCTCCCCACCACTGCAGCATCACCCAGGCAGGATGCTAACTGCATATTTGTGTTCACACCTCTAGCTTGGGCATGATGAACTGTGAGAAGCCAGGTGGGTAAAAGGAACAGCAAATGGCTCTGAGAGAAATGCTCCCTGTGATGGATGGAGAATATGGGCTGACCCAAGGGGCTAGCTACCTCTTGATGAGCGGGATCTTGGTGCTCCAGTTGTTGAAAGATCCAGAGATGAAGACCTCTTTGCCCCCATCAGCCCAGCGGATGACAGTGGGGCGAGCCTGCTGGGATGGCTTCACTGACTCTTCCAGGTCCGGCTGCCATGAAACAAACTCCTTGTCCCCAGGAATCTGAGCAGAGAACACCAGAGCCATTTCATTTGCCATCACCTCCATTTGCACATCCCAGACAACAGCAACCTCAGGCTAGGCAAGCAGCTCTGCTCATACATCCCAAGAGATGCTTCTCTTGTATTGCAGCTCAGCCTGGCTCTTGCTATGAAAGCAGTACCCCAGCACCCTGATACCCTGCCTGTTTAGTTTGAATTAAACACAGCGCTGCTCTTTACCAGGTGCTACAGCCCTCTCACCAAAAATCCTCTCCTTGAAAGCAGCCTCAGCCCAGCACAGCCACACAGCCCCCTCTGGAACACCACCCAGCACCCAACGTGAGGACAACAAAGGCAGCAGCCAGCCCCTACCTTGGAGTCGTGGGAGCTGAAAACACTGGGGTCATCTGTGCTGCCCACCATGATCTTGTGTGGGTGCTCCTTTGTGTGATGGGCACCTCCAGAGCTGTCAGAGCGGTGGGACTTGGAGCCATGTCGCTCACCAGACACTCGCTCACTGGTGGTGTTTCCCATGACAGCTCAGCAGCCCCTGTGAGAAGGAGAAGGCGGCAGTGTGTCTACACCCATGGGCTCCAGCAGTGAAGAGGGAGTGAGGGTACTGCTTCCCACTGCCCTTTGCCAGGACAGAGTGACAGCAATCCTAAAAAAGGCCCAAAGTTCATTCCCAATGCCAAGTTTGGGAGCCGAAGGGGAATTTAACAAGCAAGACAGCTTGAACTAATTATAGGCATACCCTTATGAGCCATCGTGATAGTTAAGCTGGTAATTGTTATACCCTAAAACAAACATGAGTTAGACTGCATCCTACACAAGTAGAGGGGCTGATGAGAAAAATAAAGCCACCCTTCAGCGGCAAATTGTCGCTTGGCACGAACAGAGCCTCTTTCAAAATCCCACAGCCTGCACAGAAAAAAAACGCTACATACAGCGAGAAAACAGCCGGAGAGTGAAAGTAGCAGCTGCTTAACAGCTCCCAACAAGTTTCCCTGAGCCTGCGGGCAGAGGAGCAGAGCTTCATGGCTGGCAGAGGCAACAGTGCTGAAAGTAGCCGAGTGGAATCGCCCAGGCTGGAGCATGGCCAAGGCAAGGAGTACCGTGCAGTGTGTACAGAAGGCTCAGCAACAGCACAGCAAGGAGGTGTGCTCGTCACGCCCGACTCCAGGGCTGCATGTCTGTCCAGCATTGGGCTATACATCGGGATGAGACCACTGCTATGCCATCCTGCTTGCAGAAAGCCAGGCAGGAGGAGCTGGCTGTGTTGCACCTGGCCTCCTGGACCAAACAACAAAGCTACCGTGGGTTACATGGAGCTGTCAGGCTCCAGGCAGATGTCAGCAACCAAGGTGGGCTGCGGCTCTTGCCCCCTGCCCAGCTTTGTTTTGCAGGGATGGCGGGAGGACAGCTGGCCTTGCTTCATCCACTTTGTTGTGACATTTAGGGATTTGTTTAGAAGATCAAGTTATGTGTTATGAGTTCCAGGTGAGGCCGCCAGCCAAAGCCTGGCTTTGGACAATTATGGGGCAATTACTGAAGTATTTCTTAAGCCCTCAGTGTCCCCAGCTGCAGCCCGAGCTGAGGATGGCCAAGCCTGCAGGGTCAGGGCAGCTGTCACCCACTGCAGCATCATCCAACCCAGTGCCACCCATCACAGTGTCACCAACTGTACCGTCACCCGCTGCAGTGCCACCAACCGTACTACACCCATGGCAGCGCCATCAACCAGTGTCACCCACTGCAACGCCACCCCGGCAGCACCCTGCCAGCCCCACCGCCCCTGCAGAAGCCCGTCCGCTCCCGTCCCCCCCCGCGGCCTACCTAGCCGCGACACACAGCCGCCGCCCCGACCCCAGCGCACACGGTGGTAGCGCAGCCCCACGGCCCAGCCTCGGTCGCAGCCCCACCTGCCCACCGCCGCCGCCGCCGCCCCGCTCTCCGCCTCCGATCAAAATGGCGGCCGCCGCCACCGCCAGCCTCTGCGGGGCGCTCTGGCCCGCCCCCGCGCTGCTCTCTATGGTACTGAGCGGCCATTTTGTTTGAGGGCGGTGTGACTTCCGGGAGGGGCGGCCATCTTTGCTGTGGGTGGTGCGAGTACATCTGTCTTGTGCGATGTGTGCGGGGTGCAGAGGTTCGTGAGGACGGACCAGAGCCTGACCCTTCGCCCCGGGGAACGGGGACGAACTTTATTGCCTTTTTCCTCGGGGAGAGAATTCCCCATGCCACCCCGCATCCAGCAGAGCTTTTTGAGCCCTTCCCAATAGCACTGACACCCCAAGGAAAGGAAGGCGATGTCCAGCAGCCCCCTTCACTGGGGCTAAGGGGACAGAGAGACGTAGATGAGCGTGGCCACGATCAGTCCGAGGCTGAAGAAGACCTTGAAGATGTGTGGCACAGAGCTGCAGCGTGGCACTGGGTGCCTGGCCGTGCCTCGCAGGGGCTGGTCAACGCGCTGGTGCTGGGACATGATGGCCACCCGGGCACCCTGCCATGCACCTGGGCCACGCAGGCGGTACTGGTAGGGCGTGCAGGGCCCCAGCAGCACCTCCACTGCCAGCCTGGGGTCAGTGAGGAAGAGCATCAGCAGGTTGGGCTTGGCACCCAGCTGGCTGGCGAGCTCGTCCATGTAGGGAATGTAATCCACCTGGATGGTGTGCCGCCGGCTGGCCACGTACCTGTGGGCAGGGACAGCGGGCTGGCTCACTGTGTGTGCATTGACGAGGTGGTGGCAGGGTTAGTGACCCACAGGGCCCTTACCGCTTGGCTATTTTGTCCTTGGTTTGTGCGATGTCAGCCAGCATGGTGCTGGCTGGTGGCAGCTTGTGCAGACCTACGGAAGAAGGAGAAGGAGAGAGAGATCTGCTCTCAGCAAACATGCCCCTCTGCACCCAGCATGGCCTCTGTGGCGCAGGAAAGCCTTTGGACAAAGAAACATGGGCAAGAGAGAGGCACAGGCAAGGAAATAAATTCCCTGCCCGCCTCACTTACCCTTGAAGACACGGGTAGCCCAGCGACTCTGCATCTCTGAGATGGGCATGATGGCTCCCAGAGGCTGGATGTAGCCAATGAAAGCCAACGTCGGCTTCTCCAAGTCAGCTGGGAACATAAACTTGTAGAGGGGGACCTGATTCTCCATCACCTTCACAGAATCCTCAAGGAAGGGGAAGGAGAAGCTGTACCCAGTGGCAAAGACTACAGCATCTATGTCTTCCTTAGTGCCATCCTCAAAAATGGCAGATGTTTCTGTGAACTGCTTGATGTTCGGCTTCACCCGCACCCTGCCTGAAATGATGCGGTTGGGCAGGTCATCGTTGATGGTCAAGTGCTGGTTGAAGACCCTGCCGAGAACAAACAGAGTTCATGCAGGGCCGGATGCAGGCAGGTCCCCGTAACGCTGCCGCAAACACTCACCGGTGTTTCGGCTTCAGACCATAGAGAGCATGGTCAAAGCGCATGTTGAGTTTCCTCTCCACCATGAAGTTGCTCACAGAGAGGGGCAGCATGCTTTGGAGGAGCTGGGTGAAGCGGCTGAGGTAGGAGAAGTCAAAGGGGTACCCACCTTCTGCCACCCGGTGCATCACCCATGTCCCACGCTTGGTGCTGAGAAACACCTGGTAGAAGTGAGAAGGGACGTTTAATCTGAACTGCAGTGCTGGCCCAAACTCAGCAGACCTGCGTGGTCTGGGAGTAAAAACAGGCTGGGAGCAAGGAGCAGAGGCATGCTGAGCCTGGTTGTCTTGGGACATCACCTGCTTGGCTGCGTGGCTCAGCTCCACCGCGATGTCGATGCCCGAGTTCCCGGTGCCGACCACAATGACCCGCTTCTCCGCAAAGGCCTGCGGGCTCTTGTAGTCCCGGCTGTGCAGGTACCAGCCTTCAAACTTGTCTAGTCCTGCAAGAGAGAGTAGGGGTGGCTGTCCTTTTCTTGGGCTAGGTATGTGCTTTGGGAGCAGGCTGAGCCCAGTGGGAACTGCCTAGGGATGGTGCCCAGGGAGGTGGTGGCATCTCCAGCCTGGGAGATGATTGGTGTCACCTTCAGGACCCTGCTTGGCTTTGAGGTTTTTGACATGAAGGGAGCAACCACAGTTGGGGATCAGGGCTCAGCCAGAAGGGACAGGGCTGTGAAGAGTCTTGGGGAAGAGGATTCCTGGAGCAGGGGCACATGGCAGCATACCAGGGAAGGTGTGCAGTGGGAGGTGTGCTTCACAATGGTGCCCGGTGCACACCAACACAGCATCGAAGATGGCTGACTCCTGCTTGCCCTCGCTCTCGGTCTCCACCTCCCAGCGGCCCGTGGTGGCGAAGTCAGGGCGCTTGGCCACGCGGCGCACACTGGTCTGGGTGGGGGGAGCAGATGTCAGCATCCCTGTGGCCCCGTCCCCGTGCTGCCCCCTGGCCCCCGGCGCTCACCCTGAAGCGGATGTGGCGGAGCAGGTCGAAGCGCCGCGCGTACATGCGGAAGTACTCCATGATCTTGGAGTGGTGCATGTAGTTGGGGAAGTCGTCGGGGATGGGGAAGTCGCTGAAGCACATCATCTCCTTGGAAGTGTTGATGATGACGGAGCGGTAGATGCTGGCGCGGCCCTCCTCAGGCTTCTCCTGCAGGCATGGGACATGGCTCAGTGGTGGCAAGGGGAACGTGTGGCGGTCCCAAACCTACCTGTGATATGACTATCCCATCAGTCCCACAAGACTGAGCCGTTGTGCCAGCTCAGCTCAGTTCTGATATCTGCCCCAGCAGCTCAGCCTGTGGCTCTCATGCATTAACTCTGCTCCATCAATGGGCAAAGCCACCACTGTGTTAGCCAGGCAGCTCCAAACCCCATGCTAGCACTGTTTAGCATTTCCCAGCTGTCCTGCTCACTGCAAGGCTGGGCAGGGCAGCAGAGCATGTCAGGTTGGCTCTTCTTGGGAAGAAGAGACAGTGTCCTCGCTTGGTGAATGCAGAAACAAGCTCTGGGGCTTTCCCTTGGCAGGGAGAACAAAGGCAGCAACCTGTGCCTATGTGTAGGAGGTAGGAGAGGTAAAGGATGAGGAGCAGGCAGGACTTTGATAGAAAAAAGGGGCTGGGAAGGATAGGAAGGTAATGCCAGTGGCAGTGGGGCAGCTGCAGGGGTGGGGGAGGAGGGCAGGTGGGACCAATGGGAGGTATGGATGGGATCAGGACGGGCTGGGAAGGAAGGGATGGGAAACATTCACCCTGAGGCAGGAAAGCAAGCCTCGGCTGACAGCTAGCCCCAGCAGTGGCTTCTTGGGCAGGACCAGTCCTGCACTGCCAGCATCCCAGTCTGTGCCAAGGGGGTCTCCCAGCAGTGCTTCATTAGCTGCCAGTAAGCGATCCTGTCTGTGCTGCTGCCTAGGGCAGCTCGGTACAGCATGGTGCTTACCTCGAACCGCCACAGCCCCCCGATGTCCCCACTCCTCTCGAAGCAGGTGGGGGTCAGCCCTTCGTCCAGGCAGCATTTCAGGGCGCACAAGCCGGAGGCGCCAGCACCGATGATGGCTACTCTCTGGGCAGCCATGTCTGGCAGCAGAGACAGCAGTGGTGGCAGGGGAGGCTGTGCCATTGGGCACACAGGAGGTCACTGATTCTGGTGAGTGGCGCGGGAGGGACGCGGTTGGTGTCGCTCAGCTGTGCTGGGTGTCCCTGTTTCTCAGCGTGGATGGCTGAGGTCAACTGAGGCATCACGAGATGTTTCATCTAGACATGATCTACAGGTTCCTGCCCGCCCTTCGCAAAGGGCTCATTATTTCCTCTAAGCACGTAATGATGCTGAAGCCTGCCTCAGCAACTTCCTGGGTGTGGGGGCTGAGATGTGGCCATACTCCAAATTTTAGCGTCACTATGTGAAAAACAAAACAGAGGGCATGCTCCAGGCATGAGTGCCAGCCTTGGTGCATGGCAGCCTGGAACAGCTGGCAACGCTCCAGGCCCCAACGCATGTCCCCAGTTGCTGTCCTCTGGGGTGCTACGTATGTGTTACAGGGATGGGAATGATCTTGCTGATGTGATCTCCGGGATCTGTTCCAGCTGCATGTACCGCAGGCAAGACTGCTTTGCTGCAGATGTATGCATGTGTGTGCATGCATGCAGACCCCATCCCATGTGTATTCTCAGCACACAGGGGAATGTGAGTAACAGGACAGGCACCTGGTTTTGCTGAAAACACTTTAATCTGATTAGAAACTTTGCTATACCTTTGCTGTGTAGAAACCATATGAATGTAATCAGTGGAAGCAGGTTGGAATTACAGATGACAGAAGGGCCTATGCTCAGCCAACAGCAATACCTAAACAGGACAGGGCATTCCTCCACATGAGAAAGGGTTTTTCCTTCATCCCAGGGTTGCCACCGGGTACTTTTTGGGTCTGCCCCACCTGGGAGGGTGTGGTGCAGTACACTCATTGTGTGGGGCTGTGCCAACAAGCGGAGAGTTCCCTTGATGTGAGGGGCATGACTGCTGTGGGATTGTGTAGCCTCCCAAGCATTACCAACCCCACCAGGCAAAGTGCAGCAGCCTACAGGTAGGTAAAGATGACAGCGAAGACTGCCAGGGCCCCAGCCAGCTTGAGGAGGAATGGCATGGTGGAGGTGTGCTTCTCCACATGCCGTGTCTGCAGGGGTTGAACAATGCGCTGGTGCTGGGACATGATGGCCGCCCGGGCACCCTGCCATGCACCTGGGCCACGCAGGCGGTACTGGTAGGGCGTGCAGGGCCCCAGCAGCACCTCCACTGCCAGCTTGGGGTCAGTGAGGAAGAGCATCAGCAGGTTGGGCTTGGCACCCAGCTGGCTGGCGAGCTCGTCCATGTAGGGAATGTAATCCACCTGGATGGTGTGCCGCCGGCTGGCCACGTACCTGTGGGCAGGGACAGCGGGCTGGACCCTGCTTTCTGGTGGGACGTGGCCATGAGACCCACCAGAAGCCCTCACAGGCTGCTGCCCCATCCCAGTTGGGTCCTGGTGGGGCCTTACCGCTTAGCCATCTCCTCTTTCTTGTGCTTGATGTCAGCTTCCATGTTGTGCCTGGGTGGCAGTTTGTTCAGCCCTGGGGAGAAGAGCGCTGTGTGAGGGGGCTGCAGTACCAAAGGCATAGGAGGCAGATGGCTGGACACCATCTGACCCGGTTCCAGAGCTGCAGTCTCAGGGGACAGTTTGTCTCACTTACCCTTGAAGACACGGGTGGCCCAGCGACTCTGCATCTCTGAGATGGGCATGATGGCTCCCAGAGGCTGGATGTAGCCAATGAAAGCCAGTGTTGGCTTCTCCAGGTCAACAGGGAACACATACTTGTAGAGAGAGACCTGGTTCTCTACCACCTTCACGTAGCCCTCAAGGAAGGGGAAGGAGAAGCTGTACCCAGTGGCAAAGACTACAGCATCTATGTCTTCCTTAGTGCCATCCTCAAAAATGGCAGATGTTTCCGTGAACTGCTTGATGTTCGGCTTCACCTGCACCCTGCCTGAAATGATGCGGTTGGGCAGGTCGTCATTGATAGTTGGGTGCTGGTCGAGGACCCTGGAGGACAGAAGGAGCCATCAGGGTACTGAGGTGTCTGTGCAGCATCCTGCTCTGAGGATGCTTAGCCCCAGAAATAGACATGGTCGGAGCATGTGTTTGCTGGCACCTGTGATTTGGCTTCAGGCCGTAGTTTATGTGGTCAAATCTCATGTTCAGCTGCTTCTCTGTGTAGTCGCTTGCTACGGAGGCGGTCAGCAGATACTTCAAGATTATCTTCATGCGAGTGGTGATGATGGTGTCTATGGGGTAGCCCTGCTGTCCTACGCGGTTCAAGACCCATGCACCTCGGCGGGTGCTGAGGAAGACCTGGGTGAGGAAGAAAGTTGTTTCCTTATTGGTGTGATAGTCACGGGGACACCAAGGACAGTCCTGAGGAGACACCCTGGCATGGGGGTGTCCTTAGGAATTCCCCCCTCCTGCTGCTGCTCACCTGCTTGGCTGCTTGGCTGATCTCCACGGCCAGGTCTGACCCTGAATTCCCAATCCCAATGACAACGACCCTCTTGTCCATGAACTCCTGGGGTTCCTTGTAGTCACGGCTGTGGAGATAGCGGCCCTTGAACTTCTCAATGCCTGTGGGGAGGGAGGAGGAATGCTGCACTTCCCTAGCCTGGGCTGGAGGGCCGCCTCCGAAGAATGAAGCAAGATCTTTGAGGAGCTCTGCCAGACCCATCAGGGGGTTGAACTCAGCAGGGAAACGCATGGGACTGGGAAGAAAAGCAAAGAGGAGAAACATCAGAGCTTCCTGGGCTCTTTCATGGCAGGGGCACACGGCAGCATACCAGGGAAGGTGTGCAGCGGGAGGTGTGCTTCACAATGGTGCCCGGTGCACACCATCACGGCATCGAAGATGGCTGACTCCTGTTTGCCCTCGCTCTCGGTCTCCACCTCCCAGCGGCCCGTGGTGGCGAAGTCAGGGCGCTTGGCCACGCGGCGCACACTGGTCTGGGTGGGGGGAGCAGATGTCAGCGTCCCTGTGGCCCCGTCCCCGTGCTGCCCCCTGGCCCCCGGCGCTCACCCTGAAGCGGATGTGGCGGAGCAGGTCGAAGCGCCGCGCGTACATGCGGAAGTACTCCATGATCTTGGAGTGGTGCATGTAGTTGGGGAAGTCGTCGGGGATGGGGAAGTCGCTGAAGCACATCATCTCCTTGGAAGTGTTGATGATGACGGAGCGGTAGATGCTGGCGCGGCCCTCCTCAGGCTTCTCCTGCAGGCACGGGGCTCAGAATCCTGATGGCCTGCCCCATGGCAGGTCACTGCCTTGCAATAGGGCTGGGGGAGTTCTGCTGCCAGCGAGGGTCCCCAGGACCCGCTGGGATGGGGGGCAGATGTGTGTTCAGCCCTTGCTCCACAATCCCACCATGGCCGCTTTCCCCTGGTGACAGCTACAACACAGAGCCTGCAGCCGGCACGGCTTACCTCAAACCTCCATAGCCCCCCGATGTCCCCGCTTCTCTCGAAGCAGACGGGCTCCAGCCCTTCATCCAGGCAGGCTTTGATGGCGCACAGCCCACTGCTGCCCCCACCGATGATGGCCACCCGCCTCGCCATGCTGCCCTCCGATGCTTTGCCGCGACCAGTGCAGCCTGGATTTATGGCGTACGGCGGAGAACAGCGTACCCACCCCCGCCGTCACTCCTCCCACGGGGGCCTTGTGGCAGGAAGCCAGCGCCCGGCACGTTCTGGCGCTTCGCTTTTCCATCAGCGGCTTGCGCCAGGAGCTGTCCCAGTGCTCAACCAGGGAGCCCTGCGAGGGGACACCTTGAGAGGGAACGCTATTGGGGTATCTGGGGCTGGTGAGGGGGTGAGGGGCAGCCCAGCCCTGTGTCATGCATGCAGTACAATCAATCACTCCCTTGGACTTTTGCCTCCTCTGGGATCAGCCCAGCCCTGATTACACTAAGGTTGCTGGTTTCCAGCTGTGCTGCGAAACTGCTGCACAGCTTGCCATTGCACTGCCCTTGGCAGTGGGAAAAGGGGCCAAAAGTCCTCAAGACCTGGACTCTGCCCCTGACTTGCTCAGTACATGCCCAATGCCATGCCTTCTGCTGCACTTATTGCATCCTATATGGGTGCCATGGGGCAAGCTGTCACCCCTGGGCAATGGAAAAGCTTGCGGGAGGGAAAAGAATTGTAAAGCTATGCACAGCAGCTTTAGATGCAAGCTGCTGCTGGGAGCTGCTTCCCCACCTCTTGGAGAGGGAACGGATGGACCAAACCCTTGGCCACCTCATTCCTTCCCCACAGTACTGGCAGCCAGATACATGTGACCTTGCTGGTTGAGATCTGGTCTTGGGGCAGTGTTTAAATCACACAAAAAAGGGAAGAGACATTACTTAGAAGGCAGAACTCTTTATAAACATGAGAACAGATCTTGATGAGTCCCCCCCTAGATGGGTATTATGGAGGAGACTGCAGAAAGTGCACTCACAACAGCAACATGATCAGTGTATTTATAGCACACAGATACACGGGTAATTGCGGAGAAACCTCTGCAAAGCCCCAGCTACCACATACACCATAGGCTAATACAGCAGGTGCCCAGCAAGGGCATGCTGATTCACAGTATCAGCAGTGAGCTGCCGGATGGATGTGCTGACCTCTTCCCAGGCTCTGCAGGGACCGGTTTGTCACTGGAGAGCAGTCAATGCAGCTGGTTGACCAGCGCACGCTCTGCCTCACTGCCCGTCAGCAGGGCAAGACAGCACCAAGTGTCTAACTGCAGGCCTGGGAGCCTGCAGCACCACTAGTGTTAAGTGTTGGCTGGACAGATAGGAGTCGCAGCATAACCCCTCTCCATGTGCACTTAGAGAACAGGGTGTATGCCCTCTCCTTTGGGAGGGGTGCAGCCATCAATGGCTCCAGAGTGCAAAGAGGGCAGGCGCGTTCAGCGGGGAGAGCCAGCAGTACTCCACCACGCTGTACAGCACGTAGCCCAGGAACAAGCCAAAGAGCACATCCGTCACATTGTGCCTGCCCAGCATGACCCTTGAAATGCCAACGACGAGAACCCAGAGCACCACGAGGACCCGCAGTGGGATGGCAAGCACCAGGTGGTGCAGAACAAAGCGGCAGACCAGGGCAGCTCTGGTGGCATGGCCCGATGGGAAGGAGTACTTGTCCAC